ATAAATCTCTATTGTGTCGGAAATCCTCCGAGTATCACTTCCGTCCTTTGAACCCGACCTCCATTTTTTCTCTCCATATAGCAGATCATTTTTAATTGTTAATTTGTATCTGTAATTTGCAGATTATTTTTAAAACCGTGAAAATTCAAAATCTCTCTCTCTCTCTCTCTCTCTCTCTCTCTCTATATATATATATATATATATATATATATATATATATATATATATATATATATATATATATATATATACATATATATATATTGAAATATTGTTAAATATCCAGTTAATATGGTATTTAAATATTTCTAAGGAAGACAACCTGTTTAATCTTAATGCACAGTAGGTACCTACTTTTATGTAAATTAATTTGTCAATGTACAGATGTTTGTCGTTATGGGCTGCGAAATTTAGAAATAAAGATAATTAAATTAAGTTTACATCGGTGTCCCCTTGCATAACAAAATTATAATTAACCATTTTCTTTTTTATTTAAAAAAATAGTTTGAAATAAATCTAAATGCCTTTGCTGTATTCCAGAATTGTTCAAACTGTTTTAATTATTTGTACTAAAATATAATTATTAATTTTTATTTCGCAATTAATAATTAATGATGGCATAAAATCGTATCTTGGTTTAGTCCTGCCATAAATAACACTGGACAACAAAAAAAGAATTTTTGAATGTTTCCAGCAATTCATGAGTCAATCCTTACTTATTTTGGGTTGAGAAAAACGAATAAGACAATGAAAAAATTTTCAGCTCTAGTTTTTGTGATATACAGTAGGTGGAAATATTTCATATTAATGGATTAAGAGAAAAAGATACATTTTAATTATATATGTTAACAGCATTGAAAATGCATTTAATTTTTCAAAATGGTAGTAACATTCTAAGAGTTCTAAATTGCTGGAAGAATACCTCGCAGATGGTCGTTTCTGAAAAGAATATGTGGTGGCTTCATGAGATCGTCGCCTTTCAGCTTGCCTCTTGTAAGTCTGTGCGGTTTATCATCTTTTCCCTCAAAATCAGGGTCACGGGATGTGGAAGCTTTGTTTGGTTCTTCTTGTTCCACACTGTCTTCATTTTCTACTTCAAACACACAATTTTCGGGTTGAGTCCGTAAACATTGTCCAGTAAAATTTGTTATCCGACGCACCATTAACATTTATTATCATTAAAAAATCTATACTTTTACTGCATGACCTATCAATTTTCATTGATGTTCCATCTTTCAGGTAGGGCGAACAACCAGCAAACTCGGAGGATCATCGTACAGCAGGACAAGTTCAGCTCCTTCTACAACTAATTCTGTAAGTTTCAAGTGATAACTATCGAGTACAACTTATTTACAATTAATTTAAAAGTGATAAAGTTCGGAAAGATGGCGGGGAACCACATGGTCACACTGTAGATGAAATTCCGAACATTAGTGAATCTAGCCGAGTCTCTCAGAAACTAAATGATAAAGAACGATCACACTTCTCTATTAAACCGATTTATTTTTATATTTTATATTATATTGAACGACAAATATTATTTAAAACTAATGAACGAATAGTTTGATCGGAATGGACACAATCTTTATATTATACAATGGTTCCTGCCAAAGATAATCACGATCACTAGATTTTTTTAGATTATTGAGCACAATAACTACAAATAAAAAGATTTATGAAAATAGGAATTAAAAATACCTTGTCTGTTCTAAAGGATCCCATACACGGTCAAGATTATTGAGTCAATATCGAGTTTTGTCAATGTATTGACCATGTAAGGGTTAAATTGGCGTCAGCTATATTGATGTCAATCAAACTGGTTGATATCAATTTTTTTATTTTTTATTGAAGCTCCTTCAATATTATTGAAACAGTGTCAATATAATTGCACGTGTAAGGGCTATATTGAGCTATATTAAACCAAATATAAGGATCTTGAGTAGCTCTGGGCGATAAAAAATTTCTGGTTTCCCTCTTGACAATATGTTTGGGTAGGTGGGTGGTACTTTGTTTTACTTTTTTGGGGGAGGGAGGAGAGGGGTCGTAGGGCGCATTAACACCCCCCTCTCCTCCCCTCCCGAATTTTTTTTTAGATAAAATGGCAATATGTATGGGTAGGTGGGGGAACTTTTTCGGGGGAAGGAAAGGAAGAACCCTTCTTAAATTTCTTTTTTACAAAATGTCAGCATTTTATGACCTTTAACTGTTTTGAAGTTACAACTAAATACTCTGTGATACAGACACCAAAAAATCGATTCACAAAATCGAAAACAAAATGTGGCCTACAAAAATATTGGGCCGTTTGGCCTATACAAACTTGTTATTTTGGCTTTTTTGGGAGTGGAGGTATTTACGAAGTTTTAGGAGGACGTTGATAATTTGATAAAACGGGGTCTGTACCATGGACTATGAAGAACACATATTTATTTATTTTTAATGTTAAAACCAAGGCAATTAAAGTAACCGGAAATTTATTATTATTCATTTTCACAAAAAAAAAAAAAAAAAAAATTACCTATTAATAAACATCCTTCTTTAGTGGAAGCAAGATCTTGACTGATATAATATTGACTCAATGTAATTGACTCGTACCCCATGTGAGATACCCCTTCAATATATTGTCTTTAATTTATTGCTTCAATAGTATTGGCTCAATAATATTGGCCGTGTAAGGGACCCTTAAGGGACAGATTTGTTTTATATGAGTATGTCTATTTCACCACATTATTGCCCTGTAAGAGCGTTTAATTTAAGAGTATGCCAATCGAAACTGTAGTAATTCGATTCTCTATGCACATGAAATTAAAGAATATTCTGACGATAATTCAATTTCTGTTTGATTAATGTCGTTTGTAAGCTGAAATTTTTTGTATGTTTTATGTTTTTATAGTTTTGTGATATGTTTGTGGTGATCTGTGATAGTAGAGCGTTAAAAGTTCAAGTAGAGCGTTAGAGCGACGACTATGCATACCAAATTAAGTTGTGTGTATATATAACAAGATGTGCCTTATTGGTTATTTTAATTTTTAATCCCGCCATATAATCATACCAGACTAAAACGACAAGAAACCGCTCAACGTTCCCGATTACTTCAGCACTTACTGGACAAATGCTCTAAACTTCCAATTAATTACAAAAGACTCATATACATGACTATAATAAGGCCTATTTGTACTTACGGAGTTGAGCAATGGGGCTCCACTAAACCATCGAATTCCTCTCATATCCAATCCTTACAATCCATAATCCTTCGTAAAATCCTCAATGCTCCCTACTTTGTTACAAATAAAACCATCCATAATGACCTTAATGTTTCTTACGTTTTAGATCTGGCCCAATCCAGATACCTATCCTTCCATAATAAACTTCATAATCATCCCAACCCTCTCGTTTCTAGCCTTGCTTCCTCTTTAATTCCAGTTAACCCTCCGAAGCGTCTGAAAAGAAGATGGCTCCGTGATTTCCTAATGTAGACATATCATTAGGGTCCTACCATTGGGTAGTTACTCAGCAATTGTTTTCACGTCATCATATCCATATGTTAAAATTTATTAGATATATTTCTTTAATACAGTTTTAAATATCATTAAGAAATAATAAATAAAAAATGCCGCCATATTAATTCCCATAAATAAACTTTCGTTCGGAAAAACTACAGTGTGATCATGTGAGCTTAAGGCATACAGCTGTCTTGACGGCCATGTTCTACATGTTACTATTTAATCTAGTAAAGTGTATCTTATTACATAAATATTGATCCTGCCATACAATGTAAATGTTAGCTTAAACATTGTGATTATTCAATTAAAATTAATATATTAGAAGCACAGATGATCTATGCTATGACGCGGAAAAACTAAAAAACCGAGGTCCTCTCCTCCATCCTCTGAGTAATATATTGTTATTTATTTAAAGGCACGAGGTCAGTTCTATCTATTCCCATCTAATGACCCAGCGAAAGAGGGGTCTTCATTGTTTGCATTTATTAGTTTGATTTTCAAATAAACATTTGAATATAAAAAGAAAAAAATTCCAATAGTTAAATTTTTGTATTACATAGAAGCAAATTTATTTCGCCTTGTTTGTTAAGTTGTTTTTGTTTTAAAGATAACCTAACTTACCCTGTAAAAAATAAGACACCCACTATGTGATCCAGGTCCATATTGATATTTTTCTTCATGTATATAGCTACATTTTGTACATTTGGTTATTTCGACAATTGAATTGTTTTATTAAGTTGCATCTATACATGCAGGAAAATTTATTTTGCCTGATTTGTTAAGTTGTTTTTAGAGGAAGTGGAGTCTGTCACAGAGACAGACCTCTAAAAGTTCAATTTAGTAACACAATAACATAGTGGATATTCTATTCATACAAAATTGTATTATCTTTTGTTGCTCAGTGTAGTTATATTATCAAGAGTATAAAAAGTACTATTACCCTGCAGCATGTTTTTTTTTTTGTAATAATCGTAAAATTAATGTTGAAAAACGTTTACTTCATCCGGGCGTAAATGTTACACGCAATTTTTTTTATTTATTTATGAAATATCGTTTAGTGCAGCTATTTAAATTAAATCTAGAATTTTGAAAATTTCAAGTCAACAACACATTAAAAATAGACTTATAGATAAGGTTGCAATAACGAAGGTTGAAATGATGGGTCAAGAAATTTTAATCTGCTCCAGACCCCAAACGCATGTATTTAGACTTATCAATATAGTACAATATTCAAACTATCATTATATGTTTATAATTATAGTTTAAATAAGACGGATTATTTAAATTGTAATTAATATTTTGGACCAGATGTGATACTCCTTTACGTGACAACTCAGTCACTACTGCAGTGCGGTATAAAGAAGTTTCAATTAAAAGAAATTGTAACATCAAACGATTTATATGAACGAACGGTCCGAATTTATTATGAAATAGCAAGATAAAAAATCTTAGCTACAAGATATACATCTTAAAGCTGTTTTTAGGTGATTGATTTCTTCAATGGTGATTTAGTCTTATCTTCTTATATTTTATTTGATAGGTGACTAAGTGTGCTTTTTAGGTAATGTATGTTTTTAATCTTTTTTAGTTAGAGCGGCCTAGCAGAGTGAGCAGCTATGGGACTGCGAACACAGCCAGAAGCAGTTCTTACACAAGGTTCGGTGCAACGAGAGGCTACTCGGTGGAGCCCGAGCGGCCCAAATCTCCAGAACGGCGGGTCAGCGGCCTCAGGATGGGCAGCACCTCCAGGTTCGGAGCCCAAATCGCCAGGTCACCCATCTCCGACAAGAGTCCCACCGTCTTCGGGATCTCCCCACGAACCGAGGATGATCGGCTAACTCTTGTCACCAGATCAACGTCACCAACGCCGCCGTCTAACTCTTCCTTTTTGAGAGCGAAGAGAGCAGATCAGGAGAGAACGCTGACCATGGAGGTCCCGAAGCCAAGTTTTCGACCGGTTTCGATCAGCTCATCGGTGCAAACGGAAGAAGCGAAAGAAGAAACACCTCCTCCACCGGTTGAAAGGAAAATTCCTACAAATCGTCCGTGGGCGCAGCGTGTGGCCTCCCCAAGATATTCTACGGCGGGAGGGTACAGTTACGTTAGAAGAGAACCAGAGAAGACAAGGGTCGTTGGAGGGTTCGGCTTGAAACCTGAGTCGACATCAAAAGCACCATCACCGACCAAAGAAATGCCGTCTAAGTTACCTATATCCCAGATCAAACCGGAAGTTCACCCGCCGCATATTTCTCGGACCGATCCACTTGGAAACGTCAATAAAGATTTTAGAAAATCTATATTGAACATGGATCTGTCTAGTAGTAATGATAATCAGGAAAAAGGTTCTCTTGCATCGATGAAGTCTAGGTCGAACCTGAAATTAGTTTTAAATAAGTCACCGACCAGTATTACAGTCACCCAAGTCAATGGTAAAACGTCCACAAAGAAAGAAGAAACATCTTCCAGTGAAGAATCCAGTAGCTCAGAGGATTCGAGCAGTGAAGATAGCGACGATGGGCAAACGTTGAAACCTCCTTCTCCGAAATTTCCAGCAACCTCAAGAGGTTCTGGCGACGAGTCCTTACAGCACAAACCACCTGCCAGCCCGAAATCGGTTGTCGTGAAGACCCTACCTCCTGTAGCGGCCCCCATGAAAGTACAGTTACCTCAAGAAGAGGGGAAGAAACCGCAAGGTCTTAGGAAATTAGATTCTAGTGATAAAGCTTGGTGGAAGGAGAGCCAAAAAGATATTCCTGCAGTCCTAGAAGCACAGACTTCACCTGTAAAGAAAAGTCCAAGTAAAACTGTGATAGAAAACGATTCTAGTGAAACGAACAAGAGTACGAACAAAGGGTACGTCCTAAGGAAATTCGATTCGACTGATAAACCTTGGTGGAATGATAGTAACAGTGATACGCCCGGCTCAGAAAAGAAAAAAATAGGTTTAAACAAAACGCCTAGCAGGGATAAGTTGACTAATTCTTCGGAACAATCGAAACCCTCTTCTCAAAGTGAATCCGACTCGAAAATCGTTGGAAAACTATCCAAAAGTGGAACCAAATCCGACATTCCAAAAATTCCATCATCCCCATCCTCCACTCTTATCAATAACTCTACTAAGCCATCACCTCCCCAAAGCGAGACTGAATCTAAGAGTATCGGACTCGGCAAGCTGTACAAAAGCGGTTCGAAAACTGATGTTTCCAAAAGTCTCTCATCGAGTGCGGGATCATTAAATAACGTACCCGCTCCGTCTCCGTTGCAAAGCGACACGGACAAGAGTCTCGGCCTAAACAGTCTTTACCGCACCGGGTCCAAGAGCGATTTATCAAAGACTTCCAGCTCGGTATCTCTGAATAAGCTATCGAAAACTACCAGTCAGAAATCGCTGGCCGCCAAGCCTCCATCTCCACCTGCTAGGCGTTCCGATGTCTTGGATCCTCCTACTGAATACACCCCGGGACTATTGAGAATCCACAATGAGAGACAATGGACGAACCGACTGCCGAGGGTAGACTCTGGACTGCGGGAATGGTGGCTGAGTGAAGAGGAGCTGGAGGAAAAGAAGAAGGAGGCTAGAGCCAGCTGTGGTGGCTACTCAGGACACTTTAAGGACATTGATCATGTCCTCGGAAACGCAGCGCCGCCTCCGGCAGCCTTTAGAACTCCCAACACATCCGATGATGGTATGTCTTTAAATATATCCTTATAGCTGAGTGTAAATTGTGTAATTTGATACTTTATGTAGAATAATTTGAGTTAAGTGCATATTCTCGTTAAATCATTATCCTGAACTGATATGAGTTCTCTTTTCGGACGGAGCATAAGCTCTAAACACTGATGATTCACAAATCATCCAAATGTGAGCCATAAATATATTGTATATTGAGTTGTAAAGAAATCAATCTCAACCTGTTGATTAAGTCAGCTCTTTCAATTTTCAGTGTAGAGGTGTAGTGGTACCATTTTCTTTAGCATTCTTTTACACCCCCATTTTTTATTTATTTTTTACAAAACGTGCTTCAGGAGTTGTTTTTTCAGAATATGTTATAATTTATACTTAGCCTTAGCAGTTTTATTTTCATTTTTAAAGAGCTATGTGCAGTTGCTCTAACGAAACACGATAGTCGCGGTAATATTTCTATTGATGGACTTGTAAATGTAGTATAAGGTATATAGAGCACTTATCCCTATTCTCAGGATAACTGTGAAATTGCAAATTGAAATGGAAATATATTTCTTTATTTCAGTAAATTTATTCAATTATGTGGTACATCCCGTTTTCATGAATAACTAAAGATTGGAGAATGTTAATCTCAGGTAACCTTTTTGGAATGATCGCATATTTCACATACTAAATCTCACACATCTTACAGAAATAAAATACTTTGCACTTGAATAATGAGCCTCTCAGATTCCTCGTACGTACTTATTAAGATAAGGACAAGGGCGTGTTAGGTACTACTCATATCAAATTATCAATCTCATAAAGATGTCTGTAATGGAAACGTGGGGTTGAGAAATAAAAAACTGATGATCAAAATAATTGTTAATGGCCTTAGGCCTAAAGAAGTTTTAGACAGAGCTGAAATAGGTTAAGTGATATCAGGGACCACGGAAGAGGCCAAGTTGGACTGCGTTCACCCATGACTCATTCACTCACTCACCATTTATTTTTTTTATGTAACCTGAGTGAGCATCAATGAGTTAGTTCCCATTTGCACAGAATACATTTTTTTTTCTTATTTCTTCATTTACTTGATTTTTTATAATCTAAAATCAAAGAGAAATCTCAATTCAATCAGTTAAGTATTTTTTATGTGATTCTAATTAAAATCTTCGTGCAGCTTCTATAACGCAAAGCTGTACAAAAAAAAAATTATAATGTAGTTTTATTAATATGAAGAGAGAAATACTTTATTGAAAGTAGTGTTGTCCTATTATATAGGGTTGCTTTTTACACAGCATACTGATCAATCAATATAGACATAGATCTTACATCATATTATTCCATTATTATATAAACATATCATTTTTATTTTTATATAATTTATCATTTTTTTTTAATATTTAATTATTTATGTACGTAATAAAATTTACTTCATTTAAGAGAATAAGGAGTTAGTAGAAATAATTTGATATTTATATGATATATCTTCGGTTTTTGCATAACGACCTTAAGTGACATTTCAGAGCCTTAAATAATTACGAGTTTTGTATAATTCTTCCTTCATGAAAGGAGACAATCGTGCGCTTGTTATAAGAATGTTTGATGTATAAATGGGTTTGTGTCAATTTATGCACTTACAGTGCATTTTTCTATTGATAAATGAAGTCTAAATTCACAGAACAAGTGAACCTATATCAAAAATGCACTTAATGACTTTTTGCAAAATAAATATACATTTAAAATAATTTACAAAACCATCCTTGCATATTTACTATATTCAACCTAGGAATACCTGAATCGTGTTCCTCTCTTCAAGTGTGATGTGTGTATTAGGGCTTTTCTGGGCTATTTTCCCATAAGTTACACTTAGCAACTTGCCTGAATTTTAAAGTAATAACGTATTATAGTTTTCTTCTTTCTATAACTATTAATGTTTTCTCCTTTCTATAATTATTATTGTTTTATTTTATTTTTGCTCTCATCGTGCATTCACAGCTATTCTAGTTTTCGGTCATAAAACACTATATATATATTTCCAAATATTAATATAGGCTTTATTCGTTGACAGATTCAGACAGCAGCGACGACGGTTGGTACAAACAGATCAGAAGTCAAGCTGCCGTCAACGGACCAGTGCCGAAAGCGAACGGCGATGTTAAGGTCAGTTACGATTTTTTTAGTGTTAATAAACAAATAAATTTTTAACGATTATATAACTAATATATACTATTAATATATATACTATTCGGCACATATTAAATAACACTGATCTGAAGAGCAATATAAACCTAGTATAGAAATCAACCCTATGAATATTCAGAACAAGAATAAATTATCACCTGAACAGTTAATTTTTCTTTGAAAATATATACATAATAATTTGCAATGTATTGAGTACAATATAAATGCTTGTCGAAAAGAGGGTATAGTTATTATGAGGCTTTCAGTTCCAAAACCTATTATCATTTTCTAATCCAAGAACCAAATCATAATTTTGTGACTTATTTGAAGCATACTTTTAGTTATATACCGTTATATTGCATCGATAGTGAAGGCTATACGAGAAACGCGGATATCGTCGCATTTCCCAAGACAGGAAGGACAGCGCTGATCTTGGATCCAACTGTCCGCTTTGAGAGCAATGACCTCGATCAGGCGGATGAAGTTGAAAGGGAAAAGAAGAACACGTACGATAAATGTATCCCTTTCCTAAAAGAGAAATTCCGTGAGACCTTCGGAGAGAGAGAGTTCACCGTGAGAGGCCTCTGGTTTGGGTCTCGCTGAACTATCCCAAAAAGAACAAGGAGCTTCCTCGAGGAACTAGGTGTCGACATTAAGGACATAGTGAGGTTGGCTGAAAATATAGTCCTCGACTCTCTGGGAATTATTCACCACCACGTGCATGGCTAGCCCGAGAGTTTTAATTTATGTATTTGTTTATTTATTTAGTGAATAATTGAAAACAATAGAGATAAAGAGAGAGAAGTGAGAGAAAGGGAAACTTAATGTTAAATAAAAAAAAAGCATGAACAATGAAAAGAAGGAAAAAGGAAAAAAAAAAAAAATAAAAAAATAAAATAAAAAAATAAAATAAAAATGAATAAAATAATAAAAATAAATAAAATAATAAAAATGTATATATATATATATATATATATATATATATATATATATATATATTACTAATATTAACTAATACTTCTGTATATTTATATATAAGTTCATATATTATCTTAAGGATAGAAGAGTTTAGTGTGTGTATAGCAACCCAATATAATTGGGCAGCAATCCTTTATATTTTATGAAAATAAAGTGTTTCTCTCTCCGCCCTAAGTATTAAATTCGTACTAGTTTGACAACTCAGGGCGGGGGCGATTCAAATCGATACCCCCAGAAAAGGAGGAAATCAAATTATTCGATGAGGTCCCTTCGATATTTCGGAAAAATATGAACTCAAAACACTGATAAATTATTGTCTTAAATGGGTTTAATCTGTCGGTTTAAACGATTTTTTGTGCGAACTGCAAAAATCGATTTTTAAGTTTGATGACAGAAATTACTGAAGGAGATTTCGTGATTGTTAAAAAAAAAATAATAATTAAGCAAACAACGTTATCCACTCTAAGAGACGCTTGGATATCCATTTTATCCCCATAAGCGCCGACTATTAGGGACTCCGGAACTTGAGGCCCCTCAAAGCTGCCGTGGTGGTGGCTCAACCCCCCTACAAATTGCTATAGTAAGAAATGTATGAAAACATCGATAGTGTACAATACAATTCCATTACTAAGGTCTTTATCTATCAACGAGTAGGTATAGTAGAGTTTGTTTAACGATGTCCTATTGTGTGAGAAGGAGTTAATTGGGGTGTGCGGTCAAATAAATACTAAATTAAAATATAGTAATTATTTAATTTTTGCCGACGTTTCGACCCACCTTGCAGGTCGTCTTCAGGGCTACAAAAGATACAAAACATGTTGAAAATAAAAAATATATATAAATAGATATAAAATAAGAAGAAGTTGTCAGATACGAAGACGACCTGCAAAGTGGGTCGAAACATCGGCAAATATTAAATAATTACTATATTTTAATTTAGTATTTATTTGACCGCACCCCCCAATTAACTCCTTCTCATATGATACCAACGGTCAACCATCTCTACATCATGATGTCCTATTGTGGTTTCATACCTTCACCTAAACTGCGAAAGGAATCGTCTCTTAAAATACATTACTGTTTTAGTTTAAAGTATTTTGTGTGATAACAGTTTTTTGTCACTAAGAAGAGCTTGGAACAACTTTCTGGTTGAGATAGTAATTTTTCACATAGAGGCATATATTATAAATATGTATATAGGATATATTTCAAATAATATCCCCACCTTCCCAGAACCCCCACCATTACAGTTTCCTCCCTCCCCCCAATAATTTTCATATTTCGGCGCCTATGTTTATCACCATGTTAGATTGTTAAGAAAATTGACGTTGACGAATATTGTCAATTTGTCGAGTATCTTCCACTGCACATTACATAACAAGTTTATTTTGTCTCATGCATCGGTGTCTATTTCAACATCCGAAGAAGTTTTGAGTTTCATTCGGGGCTGGAAGACTTTCAATATTAAATCAAGCCCAGATATTTAGATAGTGTTTTTAAGTACGTCTGCAAGTACAATCCTTTACGATGGACTTGGTTATTTCCGCATGTTTTAATTTAATTTATATTACATTTTTTTTTTTTATATTTTGGAATTAAAACTGAACACTACATATCATGTAGTCGGTACAACTATAAACTCATAAAAATGACATTACTGATTTCGGCGGCTGTTCAGTTTCGACATTTTGCCTCAAGGTGCCCATGGAGTACTATGGTAAACGAACGAATTCGTAAAATGTGATTCTTGGTCACTTTAACATGGTGCCGACGATGTATGAAATGTGTTAATTGCATATTCATGTTTTGGACGACAAAATTATCTAACCGTTAAATTACTAAAAAAATTCAGATTTCGTGGCGTGTGACCATACCCGTTTTTGTAACAGCCACCCAAGCCCGTTAAAAAAACATGAGATATCTACAATTCATTGAGTGAGTTAATGGACGACCCGAAGGACTGTGATTATGTTTGCCGTGTTTTCTCAAGGGCCAGTTTTTGCCCTATACCGAAATGAGCTAAACCGTCCTCGATGGAAAACAATGCCACCGTGAAATCTTTAATGACGGCCTGACAAAAAGTTTTTTTCTTTCTCTTCAGGCCTTTGCCTTCACGATAGCACCCTATGCCATTCCTGATTTTTTTTTTTTTTACTATCCAGATTCCTTCAAAATACGACCACGTTTAAGGGTTTCGATTGGTGGCGGTCTCTGTCGCGCAGTGGTGGAACTTTGCAGTACAAACGAGTGCCCAAAGAGAGCGCTAGCAGTATTGGCTTCAGCGATTCGTTCAATGAATGATTGTTCTTATTTCATTATTTTTTAACTATACATTCCTTTATCAGATTTTTAAAAATCATTAATTATTGAAACTATAAACTAATTTAGTCATCTTTACTTTCCTGCTATAATGAAAAGTAGTTAAGATATACATATGTGAGCAAGACTTACAAAACATTGTATTAAAACAAGGAACTTGGTCAGAAACTGAACATGGATTGAGGAAAAAATTTAAAAAGATTTCATAGATTTTATTAAAAATATTTGCTTTGAGCTATTGCCTGATGGATATAAGAAGGCAGTTTAAATTAAGTAAAAGTTGATCAGTTTTGCTTAGCTTGTGGTTTTTTGTTATTTAATAATTTTATTCTATTTTTCTTGTTTGTTTTGTTTCTGCTTTTTTTTCAGTTATTTAATTATGTTTTATTACATTTTATTTTACTTATTTAATTTATCTTTGTATATTTTATTTTACTAATTTAACTAAAGTTTTGCTGATTTCTTTACTGGCATATTGTATATCTTTATTGTATATCCTACTAACATACTCTATATCTTTACTAACCTATTGTAATTAAATTCTAATAAGGTGCCTCTAACCTAACAAATTGCAGATGAACTAATAAATATAACACAAAAATATAACCAAATAAATAAATAACTACAATTTTCAATTAATATTGCAAAACAGTCAGCGTAATTATATTCTTTATTTATTAATATATGTTATATAGAGCATGTAATAATCACTTAATAAACGCTAATTCTTTGGGCTTACCATAGAATAATAATAATTATATATAAGCCTCTACAGGAATACTCTAATATGACTTACCTTGTCTATCTACCTGTCAATTTTTTTACTAATTTGGATATTTATGTTTTCTTTCTCATCTAATTGTAATGTCAGCCTACTTTTTGAGTGGTATTAATCAAAACTGACCCGCGCGGATTTAAAAATAAATAAATGTAAAAATAAAAGTGCAAAAAACTAAAATAAATACACTCGCTAAAATCAGTAAAATAACACAAACCTATGTATTATTAAAATAGGGCAAGTACTTAAATTCCTGTTCGAATTTTGGGATGTACACCGCACCAATTTTTTTTTTAAAACAGTAATGTTGAGTACCAGGGGTGTCCAGTGGGAGTTTCATCGCGCAAGTTGCGCCATCAATGTTTTTTAGATGGGCATAATTTGACTTTTTTATTTTTTTATTTTTAAGGGAGACAAATTTCGACGGGGTTATGGATGTTCTGACTGAGGGACAAGGTTAAAACATGGGATAGACCACAGCAAATGTCATTAATTTTAAGAAGACACTAATTTGTTTTGATAAGGTTCTAACTGATCTAACTCCAACTTTGAGAAAATCGAGTTTGAAAATGTAAAGTGCTTTTCGTTTATATTTGTTAAAAACTAATCAGCTTTTTCCTTATTACTTTAATTGTTGGCACATTGACTTTTAACGTTGGTTTAATAATAAAATAAACTATCCCAGATTTTATATTGAATTGGTCAAAATGCAGTTGTCATCCACATAAAGAGTGAAAATGAAAGTGACAAAGGTGTTATTGACGGTACTACCTTTTTAAACTAAAAAGTATATTTGATTTGAATATCAAACAGATAAAGTTGTTTCTGAATTATTAAAAATTAACACTTTTTATTTGTTTATTGTACCATATATACTTAAAAAAGTAAAGTTATTGATACTTGGCTTAATATGTCTTAATTATTTACTATTAGTATATTTTGGCTTTCACCCTTGATTTTTAGCATATCGTCTGTTTTCTTCATTTATGAAATTTTCCACAAATGTTTCTAAATATTTGGTTTCACTTTGCTGATTGTTAGATACTGTTCTTTATACTGTCTCTCTATGAAGGATCTATAAACTTAATAGATTTGCATTTATTATTTACAATAAATAATTACAACACAAATTTAACTGATAATAAGTTAATGAATTTGAGGGTGAATCATTCCTGTGTGTCCCCCACAGTCCCCTCCAAGAGCTCCATATTAAATGTTTAGATAATGACTGACTCCGCAGGTGTGAAGGGTTGATGTGAAGCCGCTTTATACAACCATCAGTCCCCGAAGGCACCTGTAATTAAGATACGATAGCTCTCTATTCACTAAGGCCTCATTCAAACCTAGACAAGAAAACAAACAGACCTACTTATAACTCATTCACTCCAAATGGATCCCCTCTTCTTGTTTAATCTTTAACATGGTATAAACATTCATACCAGATTAAAATGACTAGAAACCGCCCGACGTTTTCGACTACTGCAGCACTTATTAGACAAACGCTCTAAACTTCCCACTATTTACAAAAGACTCATATATATTATTATAATAAGGACTATTAGGACTTACGGGATTGAGGCTCTACTAAACCATTAAATTCCTCTCGTATCCAATCTCTACAATCCAAAATCCTTCGTAAAATCCTCAGTGCACCCTACTTTGTCACAAATAAAATTATCCATAGCTACCTTAATGTACCATATGTTTCCGATTTAGCTCAATCCAGATACCTATCCTTCCATAATAAACTTCTGAACCATCCGAACTCTTTTGTTTCCAACCTTGCTTCCTCTTCTATTCCTGATAACCCTCCGAGGCGTCTGAAAAGAAGCCTCTGGACCTTCTAATATAGAGATATAATTGGAGTGCTACGAGATTGGATACGAGAGGAATTTGATGGTTTAGTGGAGGCCCAGAGCTCAATTCCGTAAGTCCAAGTAAGTCTTATTATTGTCATATATACGAGTCGTTTGTAATTGATTGAAAGCTTAGAGCGTTTGTCTAGTAAGTGTTGGAGTAGTCGGAAACGTCGAGCGGTTTCTTGTCGTTTCAGTCTTGTATGAGGATTCCATGTGAGTCGTTTGTCGAGGTGGAGTCCTAGGTAACGGATTTGTTCAACTGGGATAAGTGAGGAATTGTTAAACAATACTGTAGGACAGGAAGTCATAGGTTTGCGACGCAGGGTAAAGGTAATTTGATGGGATTTATTGGAGTTTATTTTAATCCCCCAGTTTTGACACCATTCTTCAAGACTTGTGATGTGTGATTGGAGAGTTTGGGATGCAATTGATGGATCGTTGTTAACTGATAGGATACACGTGTCATCAGCATAGGTGGTGATGACAGTGTTGGGATGGGTTGGGATGTCAGCTGTATAAACTGTGTAAAGGATCGGACCTAGGATACTACCTTGAGGAACACCAGCAAACTGAGATAAAAGAGATGAACAGGGCCAATAAAAGTAAAGGATTATATGAGTGTTTCAGATAACTTATTTTTAAATAAATATCACCATAATACTAAATCTGGTCATTTACTTAACAATTAAAAAACAGAAAGAAATCTTTTTCCCTCGTGTATAAAAAAAAAGTCTTACAGTTTGTTCCTCGCGCGGGCTCATTACCGCGTATGGGGAGCGTCCCACGGGTGGCGGATGTGGGGATGGTCGGTGGAAATTCCTTGGAAGTTCCTCCCGGCTAAGTCCGATGGACTCGCTGACCAACAATGAGAGGGGCCCTCCAGACTTGCTGGAGGGAGGGGACCTCCAGACTTGGTGGAGAGTGTGACGTAGGATTGAACGCCCTACTCACATATCTTTAGTTCACCAAACACCACAAAAAGTCATGGATCTCCCTAAGGTAAAACGCTCATTATCCGGAGGTAAACTAGTCCCCCGTTCGGGTCTCCGGATGGGGACTGCTTTAGGGGATTCATGGCGCAAGTTGAAATAAAGGGATTTAAATATTGGTACGTGGAACGTAAGGAGTTTAAACACAGCAGGGGGGCTAAAATCGGTCGCGAATGAGGTAAATGGGTACATTTGGATGTCGTGGCTCTGCAAGAGGTTCGCTGGCCAGGGGAGGGCTCGATGAGGGAAGGAAAGTACACTATTTGGTACGGAGGGAGCGGGAATCATTGTTTAAGTACCGGGTTTCTAATTAGGAGTAGATTACTATCGGCTTTGAGGGACGTACAATTCGTTAGTGATAGAATTTAGGTAGCTATATTTCAGGAACGTTGGTTTAAAATCGCATTAATAAACATACATTGTCCGACCGAAGACAGTAACGATGAAGTCAAAAGTGAATTTTACGATAAACTCGAATGGGTTTATGATAAACCATCGCGAAACTACATGAAAATAATTATAGGTGACGCGAACGCAAAGGTAGGAAGGGAAGAAGTTTATATTCCGACGATTGGTAAAGAAAGTTTGCATGAATATAGTAATGATAATGGGATCCGTCTGATAAACTTTGCCATCTCGAAAAACCTGATAATTAAAAGTACGACGTTTAAACATAAGGATATTCATAAATATACTTGGACATCACCGGATTCGCAAACACGAAATCAAATCGATCATGTCTTGATACAACACAGCTGGCAAAGCAGTATAATGAATGTATGGTCTCATCGCGGAGCAGAATGTGGGTCAGATCATGAATTAGTAATCGCGAAACTTCGACAAAAACTTAATATAAAAAAGAGAAAAGAAAACCGTTTCGATATTGAGAATTTTAATTTGGAAAAATTAAAAAATCCATCAATTAGAAACCAATTCGAGCTAGATGTTAAGAATAGGTTTGAAGCTTTAGAGCTTCCTGACGAGGACCACGAGGATATTGACACGTTATGGGTAGAGATCAGGGATAATATTAAAGCGGTTGGTAACTCGTGTCTAGGAAAATAAGAATAACAAACCATGGTTTGATGAAGATTGCTTAAACATGTGTGAAAAAAGAAAAGGCGCTAAATTAAAAGCTCTAAATAATCCTAGCGAAGACAATCTGGAATACTTCCGAATCTCAAAGAACGAAACGACAAAATAGCTCAAAAATAAAAAAAGGGAGTATCTTAAAAATAAAATAATTGAAATAGAAACTAATAGAATCGAAAATAACGTAAGAGACATGTACAAAGGTATAAACAGATCACGTAAATATGTAGGGCCGGTCGTCTGGAATTAGGGATGATAATAACA